CAAAAACAGGATTAAAATTAGGCTTGATACATTTGTGTAATTATTGTCATATCAATGAATTTTAATAGCAATAATAATCATAATTTTGTGGAACACATTATCAAATACATATTGTTTTATTGTATATACAAATTAAACTCCTCCTGTTCAGATATATAAAAACATCGGTTTTGCTAGTATGTTAAAATGACTGATTGGAAACAAGACACAGAATATGGTTTCTCCTATGTAAAACATTCCTCTACTGAATGCTTAGCGTGACACCATACATCTATTATCACAGGTTAGAGTACGGTAGGTCATTGCTTATATTAAAAGTTTTTTTTAAATATAAATGCATCCTTCTTTCACGACAAACTACGTTTACCAATATAGACACATAGCGCTTTAAGAGACAAGATGGTGAAGATTTATATGGGCTTTGCTTGATATCTTCTCCAACTGTCTATATCTTTTCAACAAAATTTGTTGAATTGTAGAAATAAAATGGAGAAAGTTACATAAAAAGAGTCTTTGTTCTGTTGTGTAAATGTTTAGTTCAGCGATAACGTAAATTACATTGCTGGTCGATTTAAGGAACAGTAAAACAAGAAGAAACCTTACGTCTACATAGCTTGTAGTGGCTTGTTTGTTATCACGACATGGGTAGAATTCTTCGGATTCCTTTATTTACGTGGACAATCTTCGTTTTGATTGGACGGGCTGTCAACTGAGAGGTTAGACTGTTGTTGGTACATACGTCAGCTATGGGTTTACCTCCTCCGTTCGCCATCGGACAGGTTTCTTATACTCAAAGCCACATCAGCATACCGAATTCTCATCAAATATTTTAAATATTTGTTTTATCAAGGAGTGTTGAAAACTTCATATTGTCTAACATCTTATTTTTTTACATTATCGTGAAAAGGCTTAATTGTCATATTCCCCAACGACAATTTTCAGCAGAATTGGAAATTAGAAAATGCGTTGATGTAATCTTAAGCTTACTATGCTTTGGTCAACAAGGCATTGGTTTCCTGTGCCGTATCGGATAGTGGGTGACGAGTAATCGATATCATCGAAATCCCGCGCTGGTTTTATAAAGACTGTCAGGGGGATCCTAAGTAATACGAAAGGATCCGTAAGAGACTGGAGAGGTGCTGAACATTCATCTAAACACAGAGGTATGTCACCTGTATTTTCCTCACTCCTTTCTTTATCATTTATAAGAAAAAAATGGAAACATTTTTCTTCTTTATTCATATATTTTACATAAATTAATGGCAATGATATGACGTTCATTATTTTCCATATTTGTTTAATGTTCTCATCTAATTCCAAAATCTTGTCATTTAAATTCGTTATCGAATATTATGGTTGATTACTACTAATATAGGTGTGTTAAATAGCATACTGTTTTACTGTTCTTACGTCTTTCCTATTACTTTTTAATTCTTTCCTTTTCCGTATTTTCTGCCTCTCATATTTTATATTGTTTTGATTTTTACTACGATATGTATTTTTAAGTTTCAAACATTTATATGCAATTTCGCAATGCCTGAAGACCACGTTCTTGTCTGAATCAGCTACAGAACGGTGGTTTACTACCCATAAGACCAATCTATTTTCGGCTCTCGATTTTATTTCATCCACATCCAAAGTGAAAAAACGACGACATAGAGATAAGGTAGAAATTTACATCTTGTATGAAATATCTACAGTATTTCTAAAAACGAGCGAAATTATGTGGATATTGAAACCAGTATTTGATATTTTTATCCGATGTTTAATAAAATAATAAAATCCGAGGACTAAAGAAAATGAAGACAAAGAGTTGTGTATGAATTTCGTAATTATTATTGTTTCAAAAATCGGGAAAATGTGTGCTTTGTCAAATAAACGTATCAGTTTGATAACAATAGTGAAAGAGTTCTAATTAGATCCGTATATTAACTGTCCTTGTTGGACCGGATTGAAGCAGAGTAACGGTTTCATATTTTAAATGTATTGATTTTACATGTATATAAATAAAAAAAACTGCTTTCAAATACATATATCACATTTACTATGAGTTATCAATTCTTTTTCAGAACTGAAAAGTGTACAAGTTCATATCTTGTCTACGAATTACACATAGCTCAATTAGAGCTAAACACAAATTAGTCATTCATCAATACATTTCGGTTATGACCTTCAGTCACCTTTCGTAAGAGAAATACGCTACTATTGTATGTAATTGAATAAACGCCGTAATTCTTATATTTTCCTGAAATAAACCTTGTGTTCAGATAAGAGTATACCACTTGGCCCAGTACATAATATGTCTCATACGATAATAGGATTAGTCCTTTCTGAGCTTAAACTCGTTGGTTGATAGGTAATCCTTTATTTATATGGTTGCAATATGAATAACAATGAAATATGGAGAATACTATGACAGCGTACTTGTGATACTAAGTTAGTTATAACTATTTTGTGGGATAAATGTTTATTTGTTGTCCGAGTTTTACCTTTCTCTTTCATTCCGTATCATTGTATGCAATAAATATCATAGATTTTCATTTGCTGTAAAAATGTTTGTCGGGGTTTTAAATTTTGCATTATTTTTGATAACAAGGAATATTGCGAAAATAAATCCCCCTCCAACATAATCAGATATAGATTTCCGTCGAGCAAACATTTGGTAGAACAAACGGCAATAATTCTTTATGAAAAGTAACGTAGAAAGATGTTCTTTTGAGTAAAGTTTGTCAGTACATTATCCGTTTTTACTTACATTTTTTACCGAAATCGTCTCCATTTTGATAATTTCATGTACAATATAGGATAAATCATATCAGTATTTTATATGAATTTTAATGTATATCCGCTGTTGCGAGTCAAATGTCTGTGCATTTTATATAACCATGGGAAAGCAAAGTGAGAAGTTTTGTTGTTTTTCAGCAATCGAGATTTTTCTGTAATGACTGTATTGTGGACGATTACACATATCAAATTATCCACCTACTTGCCAGCCTAATAATTACACAAACATGTTTGAATGGGGTTGTAGTGTTTATGAGTCGACCACTTGATAGCCGATGCTTATCCAATGCCCAATGTCCATGTTAAAGATTAAAGACCGCTTGTTTCAGGACAGACTTGTCTTATCTTTTTCGACGATATTGGCCTTGTACACTTTGGTCGAATTCCAAAAAGACATCTCTAATTTATTCCGAGGTATATTTGACAGTTCACCATCAAGCTGTATTATAAACGTGATTATTCTAATGATTCTAATTTAGCTATTGTGAATTTTCCATTTCTGGATGGCAATATACCTGCATCACCAACATATGGTGTTTACATGTCACAGTTGTGTCAATATTCAACTGCTTGTCCCCAATATCACTATTTTCATGCAACATGTTTTAACTAACTGACCAATTCATAACACAGGTTCCAAGAGTAAAAGGCTTATAAAAATTATTCGGAACCTTAGCGATCGTCAAAATGATCTCACTGAGAAATGTTGTTTGGATTGTTCCTTTATTCACCTATCGACATTGTTTCATCTTCGTTATATATTAATCTTATAATTCGATACAGAAATTATGGTCACTATAAAGGTGTACAAATATCTAATATCTCAAATTGAACAGGATTGTAATTTTGTATAAAATTCCGTTTCAACAGTTTCAAAGATGTAAGTTGATAGATATAACGGGGAAGTTTTTCTTTTCGTCATGGTGATCTCATTGAGAAATATTTTATTCCTTTGTGCAATATGAAGGTGGAAGTGTTTGATGCTCATTAGTTTGCCTGCTGGTTTCGTTGTTGTATACTTTGTTCGTCTTTGAGAACGTGGCATTACATACATAGTAGAAGACGCTTACTCCTCCGAAATACTTGGTCTTATTCTTATTTTTCTTTTGTTAATATTTCGCACTAGTTCTATTGAATTTGAGTTTGGATTAATTTGTTGTTTTTCTGATCCTAGTAAGTCGATAAATAGTTTAAAACGCAATTCAGCTCTTAATACTTGTGGTTGATGCTCAGCCATTTCATTTTATCACAAGAAATCTCATCACCATGCTTTTTTACTTGTTTTACTTAAAAACATAAAATAAAAAGAGATGATAATTAAACATTTCCTGACCTTTGACATTTTACCTGGCCGTCCGTCATTCCATTCGTTTGGTCCGTTTGTCAGTATCAAGAATAATTGTAGTCTAAATAGCACACCTAATTTGAAATCATGAAAACGTTCTCGTGCTCAAATACAAATTTTCTCCAATAAACTACAGGTGGCAACAACAAAAACACATAAAAAACCAAAAAGAAAAAGAAAGTCCCCGCAAGTGCGTTGTCCTGAACTATGCTACCAGCTCACCAGCTGCCTGTGCACATTTTCCCAGTACCTGCGCGCCACCTATTTGGCGATCCATTGGAGAAAACAAGTCCGTGCTCATTCCTTATATTCAACCACGAAGTATGATTACTGTCCAGGCGCAAATACTTTTGTTGATTAATCTGATATCTGAATTAATATACTTTTCAATGACCTGGAGTAATTCGGATAGACTTCAAGTGGAATATTATTTTCAGTGTTTATAATTAACTTTTTAAGTGACATCTCCTGGTTTAATTGAGTTTAAAGACAGTTGAATTAAGCACAGAATGCATGCTTGATCATGCGAGTGGTTTTAAGACTACAGACACAGGTCTTATTATCCAAGCATTTTGTAAAGGTTTCATGTACTAGTATATATGCTTTTTGCTTTTATTTAAATATTTCATCGGTTTGAAGTTTGTATAAAGACTTTGTTAACATTTTCTTCTTTTTCTTATATCTTTACTTAAGGTATCATAATTTCTGTTTACTTTTTGAAGTTCTTGCTTTTTTGACCAATAAGGAGATCAAACAGAAGAAAAGACAAAAATCATAATTGACAGCAGTCTGATATCATACCACCTAATAACAAGAATTTAACAAATATCGTCCAGGTTAAAAAGGTATCACAGTTTTCAATTACAGGACAATGATTTCCAAGTGGATCCTGCTGTTACTGATAGTGTCCAGTGTGGTTCTACTGACCAGTGCTCAGATAAGTTTCTCCACGAGTTGGGGCAGTGGCAAGCGCGCAGCCTTCACTGAACCTGTGAACCCAAGCAACATCAACCTTGATAGCACGTGCATGAGTAGGACGGAACCGGAAGTCCTAATGGAACTTGTCAAAACAATACAAGTAAGACTGCTTAACGATTCAATAGGATATCGTATCTTGAAGAGAAAACGTCAGAAAGGAAATAAAATAAACTTAGCTCATCAACAATATTCGAGGAAAATCATTATTATGTCTTTTATGTAGCAATTTTCTGTAAAAGTTTCTTGATATAACAATAAAATTTCGTACAATTTGCGTTGTATCAAAGAAATCATCGTCACTATAAACACAATGCCTGTGTGATATATACAACATTGATAGATAATCTCATCAAAATAGCATCTCGTATATGTAAAATATTGATTTGACCACGTCCAATATGTAAAACATTAACATGTCAACGTCCAATGTGCAAAGCATTGGCATAACCACATCTACTATATAAAATATTTAAATCACAACGACCAATTTCTAAAACATTGAATTGACAAAATCCATTATGTAAAACATTAATATTACTGTGTAGAAATTTGTAAAACATTGATACTACTGTGTTCAATATGTAAAACATTGATATTACCGCGTCCAATATGTAAAACATTGATATTACCGCGTCCAATACGTAAAACATTGATACTACCGTGTATAAATGTAACACATTAATATTACCGCGTCCAATACGCAAAACATTGATAATACCGCGTCCAATACGTAAAACATTGATATTGCTGTGTCCAGTATGTAAAACATTGATATTACCGCATCCAGTTCGTAAAACATTGATATTACTGTGTCCAATATGTAAAACATTAATATTGCCGCGTCCAATATGTAAAACATTGATATTACCGCGTCCAATACGTAAAACATTGATATTACCGCGTCCAATACGTAAAACATTGATATTACTGTGTCCAATATGTAAAACATTGATATTACCGCATCCAGTATGTAAAACATTAATATTACCGCGTCCAATACGCAAAACATTGATAATACCGCGTCCAATACGTAAACCATTGACATTGCTGTGTCCAATATGTGAAACATTAATATTACCGCGTCCAAAACATAAACAATAGATATTACCACGTCCAATACATAACACATTGATATTACCGCGTCCAGTACGTAAAACATTGATATTACTGTGTCCAATATGTAAAACATTGATATTACAGTGTCCAATATGTAAAACATTAATATTGCCGCGTCCAAAACATTAACAATAGATATTACCGCGTCCAATGCATAACACATCGATATTACCGCGTCCAATACGCAAAACATTGATATTACCGCGTCCAGTACGTAAAACATTGATATCACAGCGACCAATACGTAAAGCATTGATATTACCGCGTCCAGTACGTAAAACATTGATATCACAGCGACCAATATGTAAAACATTGATATTACCGCGTCCAATATGTAAAACATTGATAATACCGCGTCCAATACGCAAAACATTGATAATACCGCGTATAAATGTAAAATATTGATATTACTGCGTCCAATAAGTAGAACATTGAACAGTTCCATCATCCACTCATTAAATATTCTGCACTTAAATATCAGAAGCTTGAGAAACAAACTTGATTATATCCAAACAATGACTGATGACATAGATGTCCTTTGTCTGACAGAAACACATCTTGATAATACTGTTTCTAATGATCAAATTAGATGTTTTTTGTAAGGAACCCTTTAGAAAAGATAGAAATATGTTTGGAGGTGGTGTAATAATGTACTATTCTTCTTCTTTAGTTGCAAAACGTCTAATTAATCTTGAATGTCTTAACGATGAAATTATATGGGCTCAATTTGTTTTTAAAGGTAAAATTTTTGTTATTGGTAATTTTTATAGACCTCCTAATACAAGTAACTTGAACGGGCTGTGGCAACGTATAAATTTCTCTCTTGATCGGGCTTTTGAACTCACAAATAATGTTATTCTATTGGGAGATCTTAACATAGACTTTCTTAAACCTCTCCGAGGTGAACCTTCTACCATATTTACATTTTACAACTTAAAAAAAATATGATTACAGAACCTACCAGAGTCACGGCTGAATCTTCTTTATTGGATCCAATTTTAATTAGTGACAGCGTGAATATTCTCTACTCGAAGGTTATAACTAACGATAGATCTATTAGTGATCATGATGCTGTCTTTGTTATTATTGATGTACCTAATATTATAAACAAAGTGGTCAAAAGAAAGGTCTGGTTGTATAATAGAACTGACACTGACGGACTTAGGAAATTTATTTCTGATATTCCATGGAATCACGCTTTGAATGAGTTAAATGATGTAAATGATATGTGCGAATTTTTAACTACCAATATTTTAATTGCTGCAAACATCTGTATTCCTTTTAAGGAAGGTCAATTACGTACTCATGATAAACCCTGGATGAACAACTCTGTACGTCATCAAATTAGAATAAGGGATAGATTAAAAAAACAATATATTCGAAGAGGTAGTAACTTTAATAAGAACAAATATAAAACTGCAAGAAATAAGGCTAATAATATGATTAAACGGGCCAAAGATTTTTTTTTTATGAAAATATTGATACTATTATCGATAAAAGTAAATCTGAACCTAAACCTTATTGGAAACTCTTGCGTCTATTGATGAAAGGAAAGAAAATGTTGAAATACCCCCACTCTACGATGAAAAATCACATGAATATATTTTTAATGACAAAGACAAGTGTGAACTCTTAAACAACTTTTTTCTTCCATATCTTCACTTTCAGATAATGATAAGTCTGTACCTCACTTCGAGAAAAGAACTAATTCTACTCTTTCTGATCTCATTATTTCACCAAATGAAATTGAAGATGTAATTCACTCATTAAATGTAAATAAAGCTTCAGATCCAGATGGGATTAGTCATAAAATGTTGAAATTTATTTCCAAAGAAATTTCCTTACCCCTTTCTATTATTTTTAATTTTTCTCTTTCCAAAGGCTCATATTCCGATAAATGGAAATTTGCTAGTGTAATGCCTATCTTCAAATCGGGTGATCACAACAAAGTGTCAAATTACAGACCCATATCTCTTCTTAGCTGTATCGGTAAACTTTTTGAACGTGTGATATACAAACACATATATAACTTCCTTTTTGACAACAGTCTTGTCTACAAATTCCAGTCAGGTTTCTTGCCAAATCATTCTTGTACGCATCAACTTATCGAGTTGTATCATACCCTCCAACTTAGTTTAGAAAAATATGAACATACTGCATTTGTCTTTTGTGATTTTTCTAAGGCATTCGACAGGGTTTGGCATATTGGTCTTCTTTATAAATTAGAAAAACATGGAATTAATGGTAAACTTCTTCAATGGCTTTCAAGTTATCTTTCCAATAGAACTCAATCTGTCTTTATAAATGATTCTCGCTCTACTGTTATGAATACCTCTGCAGGAGTTCCTCAAGGTTCTGTTCTAGGGCCTCTACTTTTTCTAATCTATATAAATGATATCTACACAGAACTTACATCTTCATCACGCTTATTTGCAGATGACACATCACTCTCCTACTCTTCTCGTAATATAGCAGACATAGAATTAGCAGTTAATGGTGATCTGAGAAAATTAGAAAAATGGTCGAAAGACTGGCTAATGTCTTTTAATCCACACAAAACAGAAATAATGATAATATCTAACACACGACCTGATCACCAACCACAATTTATTTTTAACAATACTTATATAGAACTTACAGATCATCACAAACATTTAGGAGTCATACTGAGTAATGATGGATCATGGAATAAACACGTAGAAGAAGTTATTAAAAAGGTATCTGAATATATAGCAACTTTACGTAGGTTAAAATTAATTCTAAACAGACACACTTTAGAAAAAAAAAATGTATCTCACATACATAAGGCCATTATTAGAATACGCCTGTGAAGTTTGGGATAATTGTGGAGTTAATATGTCATCAAATATTGAAAAAAATCAATTAGAGGCAGCCCGAATTGTGACTGGTTTACCCATTTATACTAGATCTGACTTTCTACTAAATGAAACGGGCTGGGAAGAACTCTTTTTTATAATATAATTAATGGGATCGCACCATCTTTCCTCACTGACTTTATCCCTGAACATATTGGTAATCTCACTAGGTATGACTTACGAAATGCAGATCAGTTACGACAACCAACTTATCGTCTTCAATCTATGTGTAACTCTTTTTTTCCTTCTGCAACTGAACTCTGGAATAGATTAGATGAATCTTTAAAAACGGCTGGTTCACTAAAATTGTTTAAAACCAAACTACGTCCAAAAAATTCCAACAAACTTAAATCGTGTTTCCTATCATATGGCCCCCGTCAACTGAATATTCTTCATTGTTGTTTAAGAAATAGGGCAAGCTCACTCAACTATGACCTATTCAGAGCCAATCTCATGAACCCAGCATCTTGCTCCTGCGGACATCCCTCTGAAGATTCCTTTCATTATTTAATTCATTGTTCGAACTACATTCAAATTCGTAACACCCTGTTCACCGAACTGTCGTGGTATCAGGGTGATATCTCGATAGATGTACTTTTAAATGGAGACGTACGACTAAGTTCAGCTGAAAACTCACTTTTAGCTAGAGCTGTTCAAAAAATTATTGATGCCTCTGGGCGATTTGGCTAGTTTCTGCATTTCTTCCTTTGTACTATATATTCCCTTCTTCCTTCCTCATCTATCCTCCTTTCTTCTTTACATCCTTCTTTTTTTGTTTCAATGAAAAATATTATGATTCAATATATTGTTACATTGCTTGTAGTTAAGTATTGTTTTATCATTCATGTAATGGAGAGGGTTCAATAAGTTGGAAAAACTTGTGCCCAATTCAATTGTACAAAGTTTTGCAATAAGATAATTATTAAATCAAATCAACATTGATATTACTGCGTCCAATACATAAAACATTGATAATACCGCGTATAAATGAAAAACATTGATATTACCGCGTCCAATACGTAAAACATTGATATTACTGTGTCCAATACAAAAAAACATTGGTATTGCTGTGTCCAAAATGTAAAACATTGATATTACCGCGTCCAATACGCAAAACATTGATATTACCGCGTCCAATACGTAAAGCATTGATATTACCGCGTCCAGTACGTAAAACATTGATATTACCGCGCCCAATATGTAAAACATTGATATTACTGTGTCCAATGCGTAAAACATTGATATTACTGCGTCCAATATGTAAAACATTGATACTTCCGCGTCCAATATGTAAAATATTGATATTACAGCGTCCAATACGTAAAACATTGATATTACTGTGTCCAATATGTAAAACATTGATATTACCGCGCCCAAAACATTGATATTACTGTGTCCAACATGTAAAACATTGATATTACTGTGTCCAACATATAAAACATTGATATTACTGTTCCCAATATGTAAAATATTTTTGTATATGACTACATCCAATAGAGTATACATTGATATAACCACGTCCAAATTGATGTGTTACCATTGTAAAACATTGATATGACTACATTTAATATGTATAATATTGATATCACCACCTCCTATATGTACATCATTTGTATGACCACTTCCAATATGTTAAGCATTAACATGACCACGTCCAGTATATAAAGCATTTGTATGACCACGTCCAACTTGTTAAGCATTAACAAGACCACGTCCAGTATATAAAGCATTTGTATGACCACGTCCAACTTGTTAAGCATTAACATGACCACGTCCATTATATAAAGCATTTGTATGACCACGTCCAATATGTTAAGCATTAACATGACCACGTCCATTATATAAAGCATTTGTATGACCACGTCCAATATGTTAAGCATTAACATGACCACGTCCATTATATAAAGCATTTGTATGACCACGTCCAATATGTTAAGCATTAACATGACCACGTCCATTATATAAAGCATTTGTATGACCACGTCCAATATGTTAAGCATTAACATGACCACGTCCATTATATAAAGCATTTGTATGACCACGTCCAATATGTTAAGCATTAACATGACCACGTCCAGTATATAAAGCATGTGTACGATCACTTCCAATATGTAAAACATTGATATTACGAATTTGAATATAAAATTGGTATGCGCAATTTCAATATGTAAAACATTTGTTCAGCAGTGTCATATATATAAAACATTGACATGGCCACGTCCAAAATGGATAGAACTTGTCACCAGAATAAAACAATTGGTTTGATTTTGATAACTGTTACCTTTAGAAATCATTTATATTTTGGCACCTTGCCCTGATAAAGGAAATAAATATATATATAAAAAAAAACATAATTTTAAATATTATTTCGTTACATGTGAAAGTCAATCAAAATATAAGATCATCCTATGATTGTCGAATAGAAATACGTTGTAATGAAAGAAGCATCCTGGATTATATGTATAATGTTTACCGATCAATCAATTTTGGGATTGTCTCTACACTTTGACGAACATTACCAGTTTACAGAGACCGCATTTACTGTGATCCAACAGATTAGCGATTATATCTTATCGATTCTTTAGTATCAATGCCTCGTTCGCGTGTCTGTTTCTTTAACCAGATTTTAAATCGCCTTTATATCAAACAGACTACATAGAAACTGACCTTCTACTTAAACGTTGGACAGGACAAACGCCCCCAAGCAATCGTTAGCGTCTAAAGTAAATTAACAAACCGTTAATAATTGAATCTTGAAAATATAATGGGTTTGTAGAACGCACGGTAGCTGCTACAATGTCGGACATATTTTCATTAATGTTGGAGAATTACTTTGACAAATACCACATGTACTAACGTTTCTGGCGCATTCGTTTTGCCATTAACGTGTTAAATACAGAGCTGTCATGATAAAGGCTTACTTGGACTTTATAACGTACTATATCTCAGATCAGTCAGCAAAGACAGGCCTTATTAGATCTATACCAAAATTCTCTTAAATCAATACATTTGTGAATGAGGATATTTCACAAGATACCAATTGACGCTAAAAAGGTATAAACACGTATCATTTTCAAATTTAGTATTTTTGCAAAAACACTGAGATATAGTTGAAAATGTAAACATGTCACAATGATATATGTTTTGATATATATTTATGTTATGTTATTGATGTTTCCAATTTATTGTGAAAGTCGTTAGCAGTCGACATTTTGTCGTTTCTTTGCCCTTTTTAAATGAGAGTTATCAAAGAAAAAAAATCATGTTCATATTGTTAAGTATATAAACCCTAACATTATAATGTTTTTATAGAAGTAAGAGGTTTTGATAAAAATGACAACATCGACTGAATAAAAATAGATCGCATAAAAAAGTGAGATACATTTTTAAACCAACGCCTCACTTTATTTAAGAAGTATGTTTTGAATGATTTTAATGACTTTGTCAAAATATATCAAAGTAAAAAGCATAGAAAAGTCTTTACATTTTAGTTTTATCAATATCAATCTAAATATATCTCTGTCACAATTATGGGATATATAACACTATCTGGGGGTACCTTCTCTCTAGCAAAGCCTGCTTACAATCATGTTCCCTTTTTGGCACTTAGGACCTGCACACTCATCACTCATGTACTCCGCGAAAAAAAAATCAAGAACGGAAACATATCATTCTTTCTTAAAATCAGACTCATTAAAAATTCTCGAAGAATCCTATTGCTGGGTTTTCAACCTAAATCGTTCTTAAACCAGCTATCAAGTCAAAGGTTAGAACTCGAGAAGTCGTTTGTGTGAAGTAGCCATAGTTTTTATTCCATAAGACATTATATGAAACAATCTTATTATTTTTTTTCTTTTGTGGAGCTTGGCGAGCAAAATAAAAAGTTCGAAACAAGTTTGCTCAAATCCCATAATAATGATATCAATATCCTTTATTAGAGATTGTCGGACGTTTGATTAGTCTGAAGGGTTTTTGTTATAAATTTTATTTCAGAAACAAACCGAACGTGTGATAGAGTGCCTCATGGAATCCAAAGTTGCAAAACAAAGGTAAAATTACGACATTTTTAAAGTCCTTTGCCAATATATTTAAATATTTACATATTTTTGTTCAGTTTTGATAGTCTACTTTGTAATATTTGAAATGACAACTTATTGTGGCGTAGGAGTTTTAAAATAGTTTTGTCTCTTTAGTAAATTAAATCTTATCGTACAAATTCATAGTCGAACTCTCCAAACCGAGTTCAATTTCCGTACCTCGCCCTCAATCTTTGTATACCTTAGAATCCTCTAGATTTTCTGTAGAATCCTCAAACAATGAAACAGCATATGATTTACGGTATTTGATATCTATTTGGCTTCATTTTATATAATTCAAAATTTGTATGGTAAGGTGTTGCTCAATTGGGTGTTTTTGTACAATCGCTTAAGAACAAACATCATAACAATGATAAAGAAATCAAACAATATTTGTTATGTTCGTCCTAAATGTCTGTGACCTTCCTCGTCATCACGATCTAGCTTACTGTAAATGAACTGAATTGTAAGAGAAAGACAGCCTGTAAACAAGACTTAAGGATTTAAACAAAGAGAAGTCAGGTTTCTTCGACAGGACAGAAGTCAGCGGATTTATAATTCGCCTTGGCTCGAAAGCTATCTTTATAAGCCATAAATCTAGCTTAAAGATTTAGTGTTATTGACGGTTTTTGTAGAATATGTGTTTTTTTATTTTCTTAGAATGGGATTTGTCGGTTTAGATGCCTTACAGTGCTGTGTATACATCAAAAAAGATAGTAATCCCCTAATAACAAATGGTTTTATGTCTCATCGAGAACATGTTGTATTCAGGAAAAGAGTTGTCTCCCTTGTATTATTTGCTGTGTACCGTTTGATCATCGGTGGTCCTCTGATAACATTAAAGGCCCTACGTTAAAATAAATCGTTTCATGGTGACATTATCCAATTGTTGCAAAATTTATCATGATTCCTTAATAAATATTTTATTAACCTTATAGTCACGTATGCTGGAGTATAACGGCATGCTATTTCAACAATTTCAACCCTGATGTATGTACTGATATTTTTTAATAAAAACCTTTTACCACGGCGCAAATGATCAATGTGATCAAAACCAAACAATATCACAGAACCTGTAGATCATGGCGCGGACATTGAAAACATATCTCATAATTATTGTGTGACAGCTTCTGTTTATTGTACCTCGATATTGAAGGTTTTGTTCCAATCATACTTTTTTTATCTTCCACGATACTTTCGCATTAATTTTAAGGGGCACTGCATGGGAGAGTGTTCACAATATCTTACATACAAAACTTTTCTAGCATCATATGACGTAGCTTTTGTTTCAATGACACACCCATAAATAATCTCATGGATTTTTTTCTCTTTTTCTTTTACAGACAGAGGTCAATTCACTACTCGTGACAGCGAAAACCACCCGCGCAGGAATTAAGTCCATTTTAATGTTAAATCACTTTTGATAAAATAACATCCAGAAAACAAAGACTTCAATTTTCTGTGATTTAATTTATCAAGTATCATTCTCTATTTTGGTTCCAGCAACAAAATAATGGTGTCAACATTTACAATTCATCAAATATATGTCTCCTGCCACGCCTTCGTCTTAGCTCTGATGGAATAGACAACAATGTTATACTGTCTTACATTATAGCGATATATACACATACATATAGGTTTCAGTGTATAACCACAAATACCGTAAATATCATAAAGAACCACAAATACGACCTTGACACCAGCATATTTTTATTAGGATGATTTCTTCATCATTTGACATGATGTGTGTGATCTTATTCCTACACAAACCGATGAAATGGATACATAGATAAGCAAGATAAAGACTTCTATTTTGAAATTTTAGGAATCATAACATATATTCTTGTCTTTTTTTAAATTCTTTTACAAAAATTGCGGACCACGTTTTTCCAACTTACACTCATCACACTTAAAGTCCTGGATGGAGGTGTGCGAGGAATCGAAGTATGGGAGAGAACTGGAGTACCCGAGGTGACTCCTTATCTTTTTTCATCCGTTCGAAGAATCGAACCCCGGACATCTCGTTAAAAGGCGAGTGCGTTACCAATATGCCACCAGACCACCCAAACGTATTTGAATGACTGTTCGTCTGACAGGAACAGACAGATATCAAAACCAGATACCAAAATATTATATTTAGTTTCGAATGTTGTAGTATAATGAAGTTAAGAACAAGTTCATTTGAAATGAAAAAAAAAAAATCCTGAGAATTTGTATGTTTTATGAATGCTCTTAGATGTGACAACGTAAACCAAATTAGATTGTATATTACCACAAACACAGGCAATATTAGTTTAATGTAAATTAGCAACATGACAAAGGTCGTGCCTTGTTAACCCGATACATTTCACATTCAGATATACAGATAATGTATTATCAACAAATTAACAAATTATCCTGATACTCCTGTTAACTATGACGGCATACTTTGAAAGAAATGTTATCATCTTAATGTCTGTTCAGGTTAACACTACACCATACTTCCAAAGTAGAAACAGCCCTTTAATTTTCAACAGTTACTCAAAACCATTGCATCCAAACTACAAACAAACGTTACAGCAACTGGATGTAGATGACCTTAGAACTAGTCCTCCGTCAGTTTGTTCTTGTTCTACCTTTAATTTTAACTATGATCCTACTGGACACATAGTAACTGGTGATTTAAGAATTATTCAAAATGTTAAGCTACAAGAGCTTTTTATGAAAGGTCCTAAATGTCGTGAACCCTCGTCCGTTAATTGGTATGCGAGTTTCAAGATACTTATAAATTCGGATGAAAACTAAGCCAGACAATGGGCGAAACGAGATCCTTCCGCGTTGGATTCACTTTTTGAGTGGGTTAAGCCCATTCGGTCGATCATTCGCGAAAGAATTGGCAGCTTGAAATCGGACATGAAAACAAAACACAGGTCTTTTTTTCGATCTTGATATTAAATCCACACTTCAAGATTTACATGACAGGTATATCATTGTGCCTGCAAATAACTTTATCCTTGACTGCAAACATTACTATATTTCCTGTATACAAAAAAGACCTGGGATTTCTTGATAACGAAGGAAACCCCACCTATACGTAAGGACATTTCATGTTTCCTCTCCGTACACCATCATACCCTATTCTACACTGAAGGAACGTCCGCGATCTCTTGTTAGGAGTGCTTTCTTCTCAAACAAAGGTGAAAAAGGCGGTATAGATATATGGTTATGAGCTATAATGAAGCGCATTTCGTAACATTAACATCCAAATCAAAGAAGAAATATACGGAGGACGAAGTCATAAAAACGATCGAGTTGACAACATCGTCGGGTTTGGTGGCAAGATCTTCCAAAAGATTATTAGCATAACTATGAGAACTTACTGCACCCCTCTGTTAACTGACTTGTTTTTAGTTTTCATTCGAAGCTGAATTTATTAAAGAGCTTATCAAAACAGGTCACAAATACCTTGCAAAGTCGTTTAATTTCACCTTCAGATATATTGATGATGTCTTGTCTTTACATAACAATTATTTAAATTATTTTTATAAATTCATTGACGTTCATCGTATACATTGATCAGAACTGAAAATCAAATATACGACAGACTCTTCTACATCAGCTGCTTATCTCGGTATTTTCTTACAACGAAACTAACATGGACAGCTTTCCACCAAGCTGTATAATAAACGTGATGATTTCGATTTCCATATTGTGAATTTTCTGCATAGCAATATCCCTGCATCTCAAACCTATGGTATTTACATGTCACAGTTAATTCGATATTCAGCGGCCTGTGCCCATTATCGCAATCTTCGTCAAAAGTCGTCAACTGACTGACAAACACATAACACGGGTTCAAAAGATGCCGGTTAATGAAAATTATGGAAAAGTTTTGTGGTCGCCATAGTGAACTCATTGAGAAATATTCCATTTCTTTGTGCACAATGAAAGTGGGAGTATTTGTTGCTCGTTAGTTTACCTGATGGTTCCTTTGTTGTATACTTTGTTCTGATTTGCGAACGTGATATTACTTACTCTGATTGACCGAGGTTTACATGGAGGGTGTCGTCGATGAAGCAGAAAACGCTTAATCTTTCTAAACACCTGGTCCTATTCTTCTTGTACTTTTTCAATAGTCTCCGTGTATTTTTTTTTTTTTTTTGTTTTTCTTTTGTTCATATTTTGTCTTAGTTTACTGGAATTTTTAGTGTGAATTATGATTGGTATGTTCTTGATTATTTTACTAAAGATTTAGTGTTCCCTCAGGAGGGCTTGGTAATTTTCGGAACACAAGTCCTGTAACATTGCGTAAAATCAGCATCGAAGGGGTACAGAACTATTTTTCAGCATTGCTCCTACAGTCTATGACATGATCTCTGTTCAAACGACACCTTCCTTTTAAATAATAGATTCAAGGTTAAAACGAATCTTATCTATCATTGATCATTTTTTGTAGGTTTTCTTATACAGGTTTGAATTCCTTTCATCTGTGAAGTTTTACCATGATAAAGCGATATCGAAATCATAATGAGAAAATTTCATAATTCAAACAATTATTGAAAACATTTTAATACAATGAGATATTCAATTTTAGGGTTTTTACCAAAGTTAAGTTGTATTTCCTGTATATAAAGATACTCTAACTTTTACAATAAGTCAACTAAACAAACACAGACTTCAATATGCTCATCAATTTCTCTTGCTTTCCACAAGAAATTCAGCTAAACCATTGATTGTTATATATTGGTATTATTATCACAAAATGGATTTTTTTCGTTTACATTCTTAACTCATGCTGATATCCGGATTTTTTCATTCTAAATTCAGACTCCTTTATTACTTTAATATTTGACAAAGATTCAGTTCAAGCTAACAGTTGCGATGTTAACAGCAAATAGACTTTTTCTTCGTGAAACTAAATGAATGACCACTCTTTGAAGTGATAGACTTGGACATCTTAAGTGCCACAAAGTTACAGGTGGCTCATACCTCCTCTGTTCACATTATTAAGCCAGTGTCCCAGTAGTTTGGATTGGATGAGCTTGTCACGACACTGACTGGCGGTATCAGTCACTGGAGTTGTGATAAGAAGGTACCGTCGTAATTTTTGTCGGGAATACTGCCGAAGGATAGAGAAAGATGACGCCGAGAAGGAAAGGAAGCGCAAACGCCATGTTATCCATGCTAAGGGCAAAGATTAAGAAAAGTTTTATGAGAAGTTTTATCCAAATATTTTGTGTATAAAATCGTATACAAATGTACCAAATAATATGTACCAAGTCTTTCTTTGCAATGCATTATTTTCATACGGACGCAGTGAATTAGACTCATTTCTCCTTTCAGAATATTTTATTGATTTAAACAATCTACAGGATTAGACAGCAGGCTAGAGCCTATATAAGTCTTCTCCCAAGACAACATGGTGGTCAGACATAAACCTAATACACCATACACCATAAACATACATACAAACATACATACATTCATGCATAACAAACATACAAATCTTACATTATATACATATAGAATTAGACTATTAATCGGGACTGAAGTTCATACCCATAGAAAGAAAGCGGGGAGGTGTAAATGTACAAATCTATTGTCACAAGTTCACAATACTGTGTATGACCACAATAAACTGACTACAAACCGACAGATATGATTGACACAGAAGTACACTTATGGACCGTGAGACATCCCAGTATGTAATGACAGCATTCGCTTCTGTTGCATTGTATTAACCTACATCACACAACTAAAAAATAAACTGGATTTCAAAGAAGGTATGAACCATAAGTGTGATAAAAATGACACTGTAAAAGCGTTAACATAATTTACTTGAAAGGGATCTGTATTTCTGGGTAAATCTACATATGTTTCGAGACATAGGCCAGTAATCCATTGAAAATATATAGACAATAACAATATAAAAAGCAAGAAAATACCAACATGTCAACATAATCATATTTATAATCATAATTCGACATAACTATCGCGTACATTACATAAAATACATACACGTGCGTTCGGAAATAAATGTCTATTTATAGTTTACAATATGTTTATCGAGTTCTTATAACAGATTGTTGGGATACACATGGGAACAAACGATGTCCACTTTCGGTTTTTATAGGACGGAATTTGTCACAGAGCTTATAAAAAAATGTCACAAAGACCTGGCGATGTTCTTCGTTTTCAATTAAAGATGAATCTTGTCTCTAAAGAAATATCTAAATCTAAAGATTATTGACAAGTCTATACTTTTTCTATCGTATGTACCCATCTTAACTGGACACCAGAGAGTCTTCTTCATCAGCTACTTCACTCAACCTATTCCAGCGATCAAATACACGGTGACAGAGTTTTTCCAAATTGTATGATAAACGTGA